AACAGGGTACCCTCATAGATTAACCCGGCAGTTGAGGGAAGAGGACCTGAGCGCCCCCACCTCCCCCCCACCCCCTGCCCGGTGCCTGGTGCGTGCCTGCTGGGGAGTTCAGAGTTTAAAGACCAGGATGGATGGGGAGGTGATGAAAGGAAGAGGACAGCCTGACAATCACAGTTGTCCCCAAGCTCAAAGGATCACGGAGACAGCTTCTTCGGGGCTTTGTTCTGTTGACCCTGCACACCTACGCCGCAGACTTAAAAACTGCACAAGACCTACTCCGTGGTGAGGGGGAGCGCCCCAGACCCAGCTGGAGGAGAGAGCAGGCCCTGTGGGTTCGCTGCGGTCAGGCGGTGACCTTCCACCCCTTGTCGGGACTGACGGGACAGAAAAACACATTTTCAAAAAGAATTATAACTACACGTGTCTCACGGCTGAAGTATTTCTTTGTTGTTTTATGTGGGAGCAACGAGTGAATAGCTTTAAAAAGAAATCATTCAGGACAGATTGTTGCTTTCATTCAGACCAAATTTTTATTTTTAAAAATGTGATACAGCCATTTAATTTTCACATTAACAACAGCCAACATTTGTGTGACTCATACACATAATCCTCTATGTACACACAAGCACACACTATTTATATAAAAAATAAATTAAGCTTTAATAATGAAACAAGTTTACAAATGCAGCTTTTTAAAGCCTAATGAAAAATTAAAAGTGTGGAAATTTCTGAGAGACAGGATCACTGTGGAATCTGGTTCCTCAAGGTAAAAATATTTTGAAAATTAAAAACCTGAGATAAATCATTGAGTATTTTTCAAATGCCAATTTTGTAATTCTGCATATTTCTTAGTCTAATTATTAACTTTTTATTGGCTAGAATGTGACTTTTAGGGTTGCCTCCAAAAGTCAGATGTCACGCAAGTTGAAAGGTTAAGTTACAGTCAAGAGTTAAAAGTATTAAGGCCCCTTTTGGCCACCCTTCTTGCTTCAAAATATAGCTCATCATTTAGTGACCCTCGAGGAGCAAATTAAACCTTTATGCTCAGATACCTCATAAGTGAATTTTTTAATTTTTGCCTAGAAATTTTCAACATAAATATTTGCAAAGGATAAAAGTGCTGGCATATAGATATTGCATCTTTAAATAAAACTGCTACGTTCTGTTTTAAATTAAGCCAAGAGGCTCTAAACCCAATACTCATTGGATAAGCACTGTCATCCTTTCAAAAATTACATGAAGAAAACAATTTTTAATAGTAGGAAGTGCCACATTTTTCCTGGTACTTAGATTTGCATTTTTAGTTTACTTGCCCCTCAAAATTTTAGTGCAATTATTTTTGGCCTTTTTATTGCTTAATTGTAGATCTGTAACAAAAGAATATACTATCATAAGGCTCTATGTATTTAAATTTTTTCTTCTGGATTGAACTTGATCAATAAACAAATACAGTATAAATTTTAATAAATTATTAAACATAGTAAAATTTCATTGGCAATCACTCAATGAGATGAGGAAGGCTTCCCCCACACACAATTATTTCATCTATCTATAAATTAATAATTGTCTGTGTCAGAATGGCCATGGTACAGCATCAGTTCAATTCTCCTTTTAAATTTTCTATATGAAAATGTTGATAATCCTTGTTCACACAGATAAGTAGATGGGAATTGAAGGAGTTTGTAATAGCAGGATAACTGAATTCTTCCAATGCCTTCAGGATTACATGCTAAAATATTCAGAAATTTTGGGTGTCCCTTCAATTTTATTAGAAGCAAAGAATTGGGAACCACCAGACTTGCAAAAGGATTTGCACCCTGCTGTCAAGAAGCTTTCACTGTCTAAACACCCATATTTTGAATTTCACACCTTGAGTCATGCTCTACAGTAAGACTGAAGAGGTGGAAAGATATATTTTCTTTCTTGAGAGAGAAAAGGGCACTTTCTCAGGCAGATGATTCTTAAGATTAAGTTTATAACAGGAAAGTGAGGATCTGAAAATTGATTCCCCAAAACTATTTGAGTCTGTGTCTTCCATGGAAAGCTCTGGAAGATTGCTAGGGGTAAGGTTGGCCCAGTTTAAAGACCAGTGTTTAGATTTTGTTTAACTAGGTCACAGGACAAATATAGTTGACCCTTGAACAACACAGGTTTCAAGTGCATAGGTCCATTACATGTGGGTTTTTCCCAATAAAATCCGTAAATGTATTCTCTCTTCCTTATGATTTTCTTACTATTTTCTTTTCTCTAGCTGACTTTATTGTAAGGAGGCAGCATATACTACATACAACATACAAAATATGTGTAAATCAACAATGCTGTTGCTGAGGCTTCTGGTCAACAGTAGGCTATTAATAGTTAAACTTGGGGGAAGTAAAAAGTTACATGTGAAGGCCACTGGCCCTAACCCCTTTGGGTCAAGGTTCTACTGTAAATGACCAGACTGTGTTGCCTGGCTGCCCTCCTAATACAGCAGCAAATCTTCTATGTGTTTCACTGCACATCAGCCTCCTGAGAGGCCCCTTAGCAAAAGGGTCCTGAGATCAACCTCGGGAAACGTGATATTCTGCACCCCTCAGCTGTGCACCTGAGAACAGTCAACTCTCGCAGAAAAAAATTATTTAGCTTTGTATAACCTAAATTTTCCAAACTCAGATGATCTAACCAGCCCTGCCCTTTATTTTTCCATGTAATTACTGATGCCTCAATCATATCCCAAGAGAAATGATTAACAAAAACATTTGAACACACACACAGTCATGGTTTTGGTCCATCAACACTGCTGCTGTATTTCAAGATGTTCCTGTCTCTATTTTTTGATTTGATTAACTGTGCTTAACACAGGACTGTTAAACCATAATCTCAGCCAGATCTTTTATGACTGGTTTTGTGGCATCCAGACAGACTCTTCAAGTAATGATGCCATCTGCATTCTTCACTTTGCCCTCCTGTGTCTGTCCTTCCTGAGAGAATCCAACCACCACCAAGAATCAGATTAATGTGTCACCCTATTAAGAGAATGTAGCAACCAAAGCAAATACTCTCTAATGGTGGATTTGAGTTATTAGAGCAGCTAGGAGGAGGAGTTTTGGGGAAAGGGTTCTTCCCAGCACCATTTATATAATATAACCACCCCCCACCCACACCATCCCCTGCCTATTCTTTCTCTGCACGTGTGGCTGGGTATGGATTTTACACACTGACAGCTGAAAGGTGTTTAACTTCTGCTTTCTTTTCTATGCCACCACTTCTCAGTTTCTTTAGCAAAACATCCATTTTAAGCAGAAAGGGGGTCCAGGCCTCACTAAGCTTTTTGGCTTTAGATTGAATTGCAGTGGGAAGGTGCATGTCTTTTCTTCGCTCCTGAGCTGAAAACAGAGGTAATGACAGCAGACTCTGAGCCCTGCTGTGTAGAGGTAATAATGGAGCAGGAAGGGGGCGGGTGGTAGGGTGGGGCACAGCAATCAGGCTCCCGCGCCTGCCTGGCCACCGGCTGAAGGAAGCTGGAAGCTCCTTCCCTGCAGCCTTCAGCTCAGGGCCTTTCTCATCCAGCCTTTCCTGAAAGTTGCTTTGAACACTTGCCACATCAGAATATCTTCCCTCAGTTGCTGGCTGCCAAATAAAGCAACAATCCCCAATTGAAGGAATAACTAAAATAATGTTACAAAATGAGAGCCCCACATTCGTCAGTCTACTATTGCCTAGTCTCCTGGCTTTCTAAAAGGTAAAATGCATTTCTTGTAGAAGTGTATGGATACGTTCCATAAAGCCCATATCCATTGTTTTATTTCCTTTAAATTTTTTTTTTTAAACTTTGTACCCTCAGACCTTGGCATAGGCCTGGTATACGGTGGTACCCAACACATTTTTGTAAAATAAAGGGATAAGGTCTTTTGGTCAGAGAGCTTGGTTGGTTTTCATGTACTCATCAGCAATGCATGCACACTAAGCCCAGGATAACCAGGGGAGGGCTGAATGGGTTTCTAGGACCCTGTTCCATCCGATTAAAGCCGCCAATCTCACTGCCTGCTAATTTGTTCCTCCCCACCACAATCTTTTATTCACAGTTACACCTTTTTTTCCCCATCTAAGTTGGTTCTCAATTCACTCTAAATAAGTTGCCGCTCTACTGACCGCACCCTCGATCACTGTCCTCATCTTTACAAAGCATTGTTAAATCATCACTCTGTACAAATCATTATATCATATCTCCAGATGCAGAGGAGTGTTGTCTTGTCCTAGGTGGGTGTGCTGCTTTGGGGTGTCTGCCTCTGAGATTTTCTGCAGCTTTCTAATGTTGAAGCCCGGAGGCTCTGCTTGCTGCTACAGAAAACGGAGTAACCCAGGGGAGTTGCCCCGTGGAGCCTAACTTGCATTACCTCGTTTAATTGGTAAATTGACCTCTTGTCTCTGGCAGCTGCAGACCCAGAGCTCTCCCCCATGGTCATGCAGCCAGCTCAGGAATGGGCAGAACAGGGGTGAGCAAGAAGTTGGCTGAGCCTTCAGAGGGTCTCTGGTTTCTAAGGGGCTTTTTAAATCAAAGAGGCTCCAAGATTTCCACCTCTCACCCCCAATAACTCCAGTCACAAAACAAGTCTCTACCATTAACCAAAAATTGTCTTAATGAACAGAAGCCATGGACTCAGGTACTGTAGCAGGCCTGTCTAGCCAGCCAGCCCACGGTAGTTAAGGTGCACTGCGCTGAGCCCGCTGACCTGGGGCAGGGAGGCTGGGCAGGTGTGGCAGTCGGAGGTGGGGCAGGGGGGCTCCTCTCTGGGCACTAGTGAAATCCGATGGCCTTAACTGTATAATCGTTTGCCTTTTAGTTAAAATCCTTTTCAGAAGCTAATTTATTAGTTCCTTACATTGAGGGCTGATCTTCTGTGAAAGTCAACTACCTGGGCTTGCGGAGGCCAGAAAAGGAATCCTGATCGCTGTGCAGGTCGTGCACAGAAGGCTTAACTGTTCGAGATTTTCACTGCTTTTATTCAATGAGGTTTGGAACACAAGAGGCCGAAAACGAGGAACGTGATTTTAGGATCCTCTATAGAGAATTATAAGTTAAGAAATTGTCCAAGGTGAAAAAATTAGGAGGAAATCACCCTAACTTATGCTGACTGGGTCTTCTTCAGAAACGTCATCTTGACAGTGGACTTGAACAGAGGATGACGTCGCAGATGAGCATGATCCCAGGGTCTGCATTCAGCACATTCTTCTACATGCAAATATACGCACACACACAACAGCCTTACACATACACCCTGGCTTCTATGAGTAAAACTTGCTGTTGCTGACTCTCTTCTCTCTCAACCTGAAATGAATCAGATTTCGCCATCATCCACTGGACTAAGACACAGGCCGTATGCTCTGTAACATTTCTCTGTCCACACATCTGCAGGTCATTCATGGCTGGGTGGGGACCTTCAGGCAAGATATTTTACCTCTCTGAGTCTCAGTTTCCTCAATGGTCATTGCCACTTGCTAGGCTGAAGTAAAGATGCACTGAGAACAATATGGGTAAGTCTACATGCTGTTTCCCATTGGAGGCTGCTATGGGCATTTTGCGGGGATAGTGCTTTGTGGAGCAGGACTGTCTGGCACATTACAGGACACCAGGCATACCTGGCTGTCCTACCCCCATTACATGCCTGTGGCACAATCCAAAGCATCATGGTGTGGGGGTCGGGGGGTCGGGGGGCAGGATTCTGCCCTGATTTAGAACCACTGGACTAGCCCCTTCTTAGGAACGTGACAGGGGCTCTTTAAAAGGCAGTGGTCAGCATTTATGTTCACTATTATATTGAGTGTCCTTCCGGTGATGACAGTTCGACTTAGGGAAGGTGCAGATATTTAAGAGAATATAAAAGCTCATTTACTGAGCAAAGAGAGCTAGAGTCAAGGGTACCAGTCAAAGGCTTTCTAAAGATGGTGGTGCCTTCCCAAAGCCTGGCCCCAGGTGCCCAAGGTCACTGTGCTTAGAGGAGCAAGACCTGAGGGTCTGCAGGTGGGGCAGGGGCTGGCCTACCTCCGGTTGCACTTCTCCTGGTACAGCTGGAGCTGGTTCTCGTTGACATTGAACTCTTTAATGAGGGCATCCCGGTTGGCATTGCGCAAGTTCTGGTGTGTGTCATATAGAAAGAGCTGGTTGTTCAGCTCTTCTTGCCGCCTCCGCAGCTGGCGACAGGAGGAGTACAGTTCCTCTTCGCTCTCCTGGAGGGTAGAGAAGAGAACCACCATGTGATGACAATGTCTTCCAAACCAGAAGGTGGGCTCTGGCATCCTAAGTGTGTGACTGAGGGAAGCATGGGGCAGAAGCTTTGCAACTGGGATCATCCCAGGAAACCCAAGGCCTACTTTAACCAAAGAGAAAACTAGCCATTATTTACTGCATTGGAAGCAAGCAGTCTAAAAAGCTCTTGTTCACAATAAAGGTTGGCTTTATTGTGAAACAGTGAAATAACAGATGCATTGCTCATTGCTATTTCTCAATCAAATCTGGTTTTTCGCTGGTCTACACCACCTTCAGGCCCTCATCCCAGTACAAAGGGTCTGAGCAGCCCTGTGAATAAAGTGGAACCCAGCAGGCAAGGGAGAGAACAGCCTAATATAAGGACAGGAAGGTAGGCAGGAGCCAGCTGATCATGTAAGGTCTTGTAAAGGGCCTTATTAGAAGGCAAGGTAACACGAGCCTTGAAAACATCACACTAAGGGAAAGAAGCCATTTCCAAAATACCACATACCATGATTCCATTTCTATGAAAGGTCCAGAACAGGCAAATACCAATACATGGAGACAAAGTAGATTAGTGGTTGCCTGGGGTAGAGATGGAGTGAGTGGGGACAACTAATGAGCAGGAATTTGTTTTCGGGGGTGATGAAAATGTTCTAAAATTGATCACGGTGAGGGTGGAATAATCATGAATATGTTTTTAAAAAAACATGGAATTGTACACTTTAAGTGAGTGAATTGTATCATATGTAAATTATATCTCATTAGGGCTGTACTCCCCTCCCCCCTCAAAAGCCAAGGTAACACAGGTTATGCCCCCACAGATGGGCACGTGACTCAATTCTAGCCAGTAATCGTGTCTTGCTCCCCAGCACCACTGTCACCACCTCCAGGCACATGACCCAAGCCAGGCCAATTACAAGCATCCATGGGATTTTGGTTGGTGCTCTTGGTTAAACGACAGTTTCTTTTCTTGGGGATTCGCTGAATGATGAATGCTTCCAGTTGCCAGTGGCCCCTTTGCTGTCATATAGACAAAGTTGGGAATGAAGCCCAAAGAGGGAGACAGAACCATTGGGAAGCACGTGGATCCAGCCGTGACTGAAGCAAATCTACCCATAAACTTCCCAGTGTCTGAGCCCAAATATTCCCTCCATTATGCTATCAGGGTAAGAAGTTTGGGTTTCAGCATAGGTGGAGGAGAAGGTCGAGGATGTGGACGTGTTACCCCACTGATGTTTTTAAAAGATCGCTGACTACTCCTGTGCACAGAATGGCTGCTCAGGAGGCCAGTCTGTTGGCTGCGACCACTGATGGGAGGGTTCGAGTGAGAGATTCCAGTGTTACAGAAAATGCGCATCCGTGTACACAAATGAGCTTCTCCTGTGATCTATTTTTACAAAAATGTACTCGGACCACCATATCTTGCTGTGCAAAATTTTTTCCCCATCTTAACGACCTAACAAACCATCATGGATAGCCCCCGGGGTAACAGGTCGGATCTGACTCTGGATGGTGGGGACAGTGATGGTGACAATTATTCTGGCCACTTGCAAAGGTGCAGAGGAGTAAAAAGATGATTTTCTTTGCACAGGAGTGAAGGTGGAATGAACAGTCCTTGGTGACTATCAGCGTATTGAGGGAGCCATGGGGAAGAGTCCTCAAGGAGACGAGCTTTCCTTCCTATTAAGAGTAAAGCAAAGCAAAACAAACACCCAATTTAAATAGTAACCCTCTACTACAAATGGTCTTTTTTTCCCCTTCTCTCCACCTAGAAGAAAACAACTTCCGTTGCTTTTATCTATGTAATGCCCATTGGCTATTCAGGTTAAGTTCAAAGTCTACCTTTTCTACTAATGTATTTATAATTAAAGTGCTTTATCTCCTTTTCTGAATCCCAAAGCTTTTTATATTGTATCTTATATAATTTGGTCCTTAGTATTAAACATATATAAAATCATATATAACAATGCATATATAATATTCAGAAAAGTAAGCATATACAGCAGGGCCTTGAATAACATTTTGTTCAACATTCTTTTCTTGTAACGCTGAGAAAAAAATTGCTTCCAGCCAGGGCCCCTGTCTGCATGGAGTTTGCACGTTCTCCCCATGCCTGGGGGGTTTCCTCCCATGTCCCAGTGATGTGCAGGTCAGATGAACTGCTGCATCTATACCATCCCTGCCAGAGGGGGTGTGGTGTGGGTGTGAGTGCCTGTCCTGGTAGGGCGTCTGTCCTGCCGCTGGGGCAGGCTCAGGCCACCCGTGAGCCTGAAGTGGAATAAGCCGGTTGGAAAAAAATTATATTACTTGTTTTTATTAATTTTTCTTAAATGCATGCCTAACATTTACTTCAATGTTCAATGTTAGAAGTGTTTTGGGTCATTATTTAGAAGTTTGATGATGTTTCTGTGACCAGGAATATGCTATAGGAACTTAATTCTTGTTTATATCAATTAGCTTCTGGTAAAATTGGTTTCGCTATACGTTGCTTTAACGTTGCAGTTTCCATGAACCTACTGATAATGTGAAGTGAGGACTTGCTGTATACAGTTTAAAAATAACTATAAAGCAAAGAGCTATGGAGCCACCACCAAGTTAAGGTGTAGAGCGCTGTCCACTCTACGCACCTTTCCCAATCAAGACTCCCTCCATGATGTGTAGAATTTGGAGACAATTATTTCCTGTTTTTCTTTTGAGTCTGCGTTTTCACACAAAAATTCAGTTTGCTCTTCTGTTCCAAGTCTTTAGGTATTTCTGTTTTCCAATATATTTTACTGATTGCTTTGCTCACCATGCTTCTTGCATTATATTCCCTCTGGCTGAAGAGTATTTTGGTAGTTCTTTTACAAAGGTTTATTAGCACTAAATTATCTACTTTTGTATGTCTGAAAATACCCTCCTTTTGCCCTCACTCTTAAATGACAGTTATTAGGATATAGAATATCTAGACTGACAGCATATGTCTTAAACAATTTTGAAGACGGCCCTTACTCTTCAGGCAGCTACTGCTGTAGGAGGAAGTGTTAGAGTCCTTGGTCCGCGCTCTGGAGGTAGCCTGTCTTCTCTCTCTCCTCTTTGATAATTTTATTTCTCCTGGTCCTGCCAAGTCAGTGAAATATGATGTGTCTATACGTGGACCTATGCTGATTTATCCTGCTGTGTTTATAGCTGGAGCACTCGTGTCTCTCAGTGCTGGAAAATTCTCGGTCATCAACATCTCGAATATTTTATGTTGAAGCTTCGCATCCTACCATCCTTTTTTTAACTTATTTTTCATATTCATAGCTTGTCTTGCTGTGTTCCAAGACAATTTCTCTAATATAATCTTCATATTTACTAATTCTTTCTTTAACTGCATTTTTTCTGGAATTTCCCACTTCACTGCTTTAAAGCAATATTTTTTATATAACTGATTTTTTAGAGGGGGGGAGGTGGAGAGAGAAACATCTATTTCTTGTTCCACTTATTTATGCATTAATTTGTTGCTTCTTGTATGTGCCCTGACCAGAAACTGAACCCACAACCTTGGCGTTTTGGGATGATGCTCTAACTGAGCTACCCAGCCAAGGCAGCAATTTTTTTTCATTACTTTTCCAATTGTATTTCCAGTGTTTCCAATTGGTCCTATCATGCCTACGTGTTCTTGATTAATAATAAGAAGGTTTGTTCTTTTAAAATACTACTCAATTGGGTTTTTTTCTGGGGAAAAAAAATTATTTCAAAGTCATTTTCAGATTCACTGGAGTGAATCCTCTTGCTTTTACATTTGTTAGCTACTGGCATTATTTTCCTTGAGTGCTTTAAAATTTTAATGCTCTTGGATGGAACTGGAGAGCATCATGCTAAGCGAAATAAGCCAGGGGGCGAAAGACAAATACCATATGATCTCACCTATGAGCGGAACCTAACCAACAATGCAAAGATGCAAGGAAAATATGACCAGCAACACTGAAAGGAAAAGAAATCAACAGAGACAAGAGGGAAGGCGGGGGCAGGGAAAGGGAAGGGAAGGGGAAAGTCAAGGAACATATAGCAAGGACTCATGGACAAAACCAAAGGGGAAGAGCTGAGGGAAGGAAGGAGGGAGGGGGCAAGGGAAAGAGGTGGGGGGGGAGGCAGAGACAAATGTATTTAAAAAGTAAATAAATTAAATAAATAAATAAATAATTTAAAAAATATTTTTTCTTAAAAAAAAAAAATGTAATGCTCAAGCTCATCTTGGATGGGAAGGTTGATTCCTGCCTTGAACCTATATGTTGGCATCTGGTTTTCTCCAAGTCATAAATGGGGTGGAGGAGAGGGGTTCCCAAGGACGGCCTGGGGCTCCGGGTTCTCAGAAATAAATGCTACAGGTCGCAGGGCTATGTCCACTTTTATCCCAGTCCCTCAAGCAAGCAGCTGACCACGGCCTGAGTCCTGGGCACTTGCCAAATCTCTCTTCCCAGAGGGTGTTTCGGAAAAGTGAACCCCCCGCTGCCCTGAATTGTCTGTTTATGCAGCAGCCTTCAGTGCCCACTGCATTAGTCACTAAAAGGAAGTAAGTGAATTAAGTATCCAAACACAGGAATTATAAAATCAATAGAAGTTTAAGGAAAACAGACTGAATTAGTAAAGGTAAACATGGAAATGGTTGAATTAGAAAGCCAAAATATTCAATATAAAAATATAAAATAAATGCAAGAGCTGGGCTCTGTGGGAAAAACACAAATAGAATCAATGAAGTAGATAATCCATTATCTAAGCTAGAAATGTGTGAAAGCCCAAATAAGACATAAGCATGGATATACAACTATAGATAAAAAGAAATGGAAGGAACCTGTGAAGTAAATAAAAACCAAGATAATAGCAGAAAGAATGAATATGTGTGTTCATATTTATTTATTATAAAGCTCTAGTTCCAATATATATAATAGATATAGACATCTATATTTCCTATTGTAGAAAATTATCCTGTAAGAGAAAATAATTGAAGAGACCA